CCTTTGCCACTGACTACAATCAGCCGAGTGTGCAATCTTATCATCATCCACCTTGCGCTCATCATTCCACCATGTCATGAGTGCGGCTTCTTTAGGGTTTAGGAAGATACGTCTCAAGCGATCGGTCACTGGCAGGTACCACATTACCAAGGTAGGAATTCTTCTCTGCTTTGCATCGTTGCCTAATGGAGTGTCCTCTGGGGGCTGAGATTCTTATACCACCTTTTTTGTACCCTTCTTATTTCTCTTTTTCCCCATGGAGGCTTCGTCCCCACGGTAAAGGTCATTGTTCTTATATCGGCTGGCCCCACACCGGACACATTTATCTAGTGACTTGAACGTTTCACCATAAAAAAGGATACAATGGTTGGGGCATGCATGGATTTTTTTTCAACCCCCATTGTCAATGGATTTATGACCTTCTTCGCTTGGTATGTGTTAGCGAGAACTGAGTTTGGTTGTGGACACACCCATGACAAGAGACGCAATAGATCATTGAAACTATAGTCTGACCAGCCGTACTTAGCCTTCAGGATGAGTAGCTCAAGCACAAAATGTAGCAATGTCCAATGTGTTGGATAGTCCTTTTCAACACCATACATAGTCTCCTTCGATGCTTTTGTCATCCTTTCCAAATTTTCTAGACATTTTGGGCTCTTTAGTAAAATCTCTGATCCAATGGCTCGAATCATGTCCTCCAAATCATCTTCAAACCCGACACGTGCTCCGCCATCATTATTGGCACCACCTTCGTCGTTACCATCCCAACCACCAGCATCACCACCTTGTTTATTGCCAAACTCGGGATTCATTCGTGCATCAAGCTCTGCTGAATATTGGGACAGGGATTCTAGGGTTTCGTCGTCGTATTCCTCCTCATCCTCGTCGTTAACAATAACCGTTTCACCATGATGAATCCACACTGTGTAGTCCTCAACAAATCCTCATATAATCAAATGTGATCTGATGATAGTCATATTTGTCCATGCCATACGGTTCTTGTAATCTTTACAGGGACAAATAATTGTATCCTTATTCTTTGTTAACGTCGTTGCATGCTTCTCTACGGCTTCAATAAATTTATCCACCTCTTCACGGAAACCTGCCTTGAACCTTAACGAACCATACATCCAAGAGTTCATGTACTCCATCTTTTACAACAACAAAAAAACATTAAAGGACTACTTATTCAAATATATATAAAAATAAATCAAATTAATAATTACTTGGAATAATTGTATATACTCATATATATATATATGAATATAAATCAAATATAATTACATGAAGCATACAAACATACCATGGTAGAAGAAAATTAATTAATGGCATATTTATTCATAAATAATTAAAATACATATTTGTTGATTACAATAAACAATTTCAAAGACAACAATTAGCAACAATTAATATTTTACCCAATATCTTTCATGCAAACCCTAGTCCAATTTCATCAAACATAAATTTACAAAAACAAAATTAATAAAATAACCAAACCCTAGCTCTAGATCTATATCTATATGCACATGAAACATCCATAAAACTAACTAATTATTCACTAAAATCAAGAAACATGGACCAAATAAGGGTATGATCTTGTTCCCCTACCTAATTTATCCTAGTACATTCAAAACTTGGGTCTAATTTGCTTCATAAGTAGCTCAAGCACTATAGAAGAGAGAGAAAAGTAAAACTCTAATTACTCACTAACCAACCATTAAAACTTCAAAAAAAAAGTGTGGAATAGCATTTTCTTACCTTCTACAACCTCTCCACCAAATGATTTGAGATCAAAACCCTCCCCTTTAGTAGAGCAATTTTTGGGAGGTGCTCAAGGCCTCCCAACCCTTTTTCTTGCATAAGAGTGAGAGACCCGAGGAGAAAGAAGGTGGCTGCAGCCTTTTGTGCGTGCAGCATTTGTAGGGGCGGCTGGTGATTGATCCACCCCTACAAATCGCAACACCGGGGGCGGCTGGTGAGTGAGCCGTCCCTACAAATCGACCCATTTGTAGGGGTGGCTCGTATCACCAGCCGCTCCTACTGTGCCATTAATAAGGACGGCTGGTCTCGTGGGTCCCGAGCACGCCCACTCACCAGCCGCCTTTATAAAAAAATTATTCTGTTGCTACAAACGTTTTTTGTAGTAGTATATCCGTGCTACACGTAGTAGACGAAATGTAAAAGACCCGGCATGTTAAATTCTTCAAGACATGTTAGCAGGAAAATAGCAACCTTAAGTTTTATCCTTCATCAACAATCTACTATAATAGCTTCATAAACATTTATGCATTGAAAACCACAAACTACTTTTAATCAACCAAACCTTTTTATTAGTTTCTTTGTCTCTTACCGCTTTCTCATCTGTAATATTTTATTTACTTAGTTTACTCATACGTCCGATTTACTTCAATCTCCTGAGAAAAACACCAGAGGGGAGCGGATACGGGTCTCGCTCGACTGCAATACAACTTAGAGAAGATAACTGGTAACTTTTTATCCTTAAGGAGCTCTTTTACCAAACTGTTGAGGTTTTTTTCTATTTTTTGTAAAAATATAATAAAATAGGGAGTTATTTCACAAAGTTGCTAGATATGTTCTAAGAGCAACTCTAAAAGACTCTATATATTTTTTTCTAATTTCTAGTAATAAAAATTTAGTGAAAAATATCATTCAACAACTTCATTAATTGGTTATTCAAATATAACCATTTTCTATTCTGATTTTTTCGCTAGCCAAAATAAAAAAATTACTCTCTATAGTGCAAACAAGATATAGGAAAATTATTGGAGAGTCGAAGATATAGAAACCGATTTTTATATAAATGACTCTTCAAATAATAATTTAGAGAATGAGCTTTATTCAAAGTGTCTGAGAGATGCTCTAATAAGCCAAAGGACGCTGACCACAATGAAGCGAACATCGTCTCTCTCATTCTCTCGATCGCTTGTCGGCAAGCCAAAGTCTATCCTGTAGCCCTGCCCTGCCCCCGCGCGAGGGACGCCAAAGTCCAGCCTAGTACTGTACTTGGCCCAGGTCTCCCAGCGAGAGCGAGAGCTCTCTGTGGCTGTTCGCCGGTCCCTTGCCTCTCTCTCTCTGGCGTGCTCGCCGGCGACGAGGGTAGGTGGGCCAACCCCCCTCCTCTAGAGTTATTAGTAGATCGGAGTTAGAGTTGCCCTGTTGGGAGAATCCTGTCTTGTCGTTGTAGCAGCTGTTGTGGTATTTCCCGGTTTCTTCCTCGCCGTCGATGTCATCGACTTCAAGGTCAGTGTTAATAAAATAAATCATTTCTTCTTTCTCGCGGATCTCCTCCCCACCATTCTCGCTTTCACATCCATCCGTCACCGGCGAGATCCGTCCCCTCCCGATCCGCAACCTTTGGCGCACGCATCCCTCTCCGTTCAGCAGCCTCCGGTCCGGGTGCTCCTTTCTTCAGCAAGGCAGCTCCTCCTATGGTGTTGGTTCGACATCTCCGCCTCCACCTAGGATCCTGGTTCGAGCTTCTTCTTCTACCACCGGCGACGGCTCCATCTGCATCCTCTGATGGCTCAACTGTTCCACCTTTAACCGGCGCTTTGATCGGTCCATCCACCCGGGTGTATGCGTCCTTGACGCCCCTGCGACCCTCCGCCGGTGGCCTCGTCTCCCCCATTGCCTTCGACATTGCTGCCTCCCCATCCAGCTGCAGGACTCTGATGTAATCAGGTCTTCTTTTGAGGACCTCTTTGTAAAATGGCTGCTGTTTTAATATAATATATGAGTTGTTGTAAAAAAAAAGTCTATCCTGTAACGGATACGCATGCATGTCCATGTGCGGAGCGCAGCTCAATCAAGACAAGCAGGCAACTCAGGAACCCGCCCAGCTAATTGAAAAAAATGGTGTTCTTCTGATCGCGGGCATACCCATACGCGCCGAGCAGCTCCTGGCCGGCCTTGCCTCATGAACACTGGCCCACCACTGGATTTCGACTCCTCTGACGAACCCACACATGACAATTGACACACCATAGGCCACAGCTCAGCCGATCACTCCATCCAGGGGCGGAGCTACAGGGTGGTCCTTGTGGGTCATGGACCACCCGCGCCCGCCAACCAAGCGCGCATCGGTACAGTCGGGACTGGAGAATCCACTGTGCCGCTTTCAGCCTCTTTTGCCTTTCGCCGCCAATGCCCATCGTGAACGACTGCGCCCTTCTTTTTCCGTGCGGCTGTGCCTCGGTGCATGCCTAGGCTACGTATGACGCGCGAGCACGCATGCATCGAAAACCCACACACAGGAGATACACGTACACTGAACACTCAACAACTAAGCCAAAGACAATTAGCTGCTGGTAGCTGCCCTACTCTCGTTTAGTCATGTACTCCGATTCTCCTTTCCTTTCAGATTCTCCAATTTCTTCTAGCAATTAATCAATAGGAGCCAGGATTGGTGATCGGCGATCCGCAATTGTCATGGACAACAAAAGTACATAAGACACATGGTATGTAAAACTGATTTATTAGATTCTAGACTTCTGTGGCTTTAGATTATTGGAAGATTTTTTATGTGGCACTGAATTTATTTTATTTCAGTTTGCAGTATTGGATTATTGGTTTGGTAAACTGAAACATTATATAATCCTCTTGCATATTTGTTGAAACATTAAAATGAGTGGTGATATCGTGTCCCTTTTTCAGAAATATGCATCAAAGAAGTTGCAGGCCTCACATGAAGTAGTAGCAGTGACGTATGTGCTCTTTATCTTAATTGCATTTGGTAATTTATATACTGATGTAGCGACATGCTATATTTATAGTGGTTAAAAACATTAACGGACCACCTAACTATAAATCCTGGCTACGCCAGATCAGGAATTCAGGTTTCAGGGGTCCTCTTTGCCTATAAATTGCCTCCTTGCCCACACACAAGATACGACACACTCTCCTCGCTCCTCTCTCTCCACTCCATTCTCGAGAACAACCTAAGACAAGACAGAGGACGCGCACACCAAGACCAGCAAGCCATGGGCTACCGCGCCGTGGCCCTGCTTCTCCTGACCCTCGCTGTCGCCGTGGCACTGCCATCGTCGGCGGCGGGGGCCAGAGGAGCCGCCAGGACCGGGAGCAGCACGGAGGCGATCTCCATCCAGGACATTGACGCCGTGTTCTTCCCGTCCCCGGCCCAAGACCAAGAGGTAGACCCCACCGGCACCAAGTCCATCACCTCGACGCTCATGTCCGCTGGAGCTGCTTCACGCGAGAGCTCCTTCACGCCGGAGGCATATAATGTGAAGTGGAACCACAAGAGAGACCACAACCCACCACATGATGGTGTTGCTGCACACTGGAACTCCTTCACGCCGGAGGCATATCCGGCGTGGAGCCTCAAGGGAGACCCCAGCCCGTCGCTCGGTGGCGTTGCTACACAGCAGAGCTCCTTCACGCCGGAGGCATATCCGGTGAAGTGCAAGGGCCCATTCCCACCAAGTACTGAAGGCGGTTGTCCTCCACCGCATGGTGTGTTATGAACTGATGATATCTCATTCTGCACGTAGAATTTTTACCGTAGTGAATTCAAGTTTCTTATAGATTATCTTGTGGTGACTCACGGTACGTGCCATCATCTTTGCTGCAGCATATGTTGCTGAGACGACGTTGGCACGCCGCCATGACGACCTGCATGTCGAGACTGGGATGCTCTTCACGAGGAGTAGCATGTTTCCGGGTGCAATCCTACCGGAAGGCACCAAGTTCGCCGGCAATGGCTTCCCAGATCCCCGGAGGTTCGTCTTTCGGGAGGACGCGGACGCCATCCCCTTCAGCTACAAGCAGATTGACACCATTCTGAGGACATTTGGGGTTCCTCGTGGATCCAAGAAGGCAGATCAAGTCGCCGCCACCCTCCGGACTTGCGAGGCCAAGTCCCCGGAGCCTCACACTTGCGCCACCTCCAAGCAAGCGGAGGTCGAATTCGCTGCCTCCTCGCTGGCGACCAGGATCAGCGAGCTGCGCGCCGTCGTCACCGTCGTCCACGGGAAGAAGGACGCTGCCAGGTACACGGTGGCACCGAACGGGGTGGCGCGCATCGGCAAGGCAGGCAGAGGCGCCATGGTGCCGTGCCACCTGATGGCCTATCCGTACATGGTCCACTACTGCCACCGGTTGGCGGACGTGGAAGCTCTCCGCGTTGAGCTGATGGGGTTCGGAGACGACGGCCACGCGGCGGCGGCGGCCAGCGGCGCAACCGCGATCGCGATGTGCCACGCCAACACGACGAGCTGGGATGCCCGCTACTTCCAAATGCTGAACGCGACGCGCGGGGAGGAGATCTGCCACTTCATGCCGCGCAACTACGTGCTGTGGCTGCCTGCTGCCGCTCTGTAGAGCCACAGGCACAAGGACGAAGTGCATGCTGAATAAACGAGAAGACTGATGAGTACTACTAGTAGTAGCTTGCTTTGCTTATGAGGTGACTGTATCAAGAACTAGTTTGTCCATGCATGTCTTACATCTCTGATGATCATCGAGCGGACAATCAAATAATAATAAATAAATAAATTGTTCAGCCTTGCATATGCCTTACTCTCAAATCCTGTATGCCAACTTCGCGTATATGCCAATAAAATGTTCAGGTCGGCTTGCGCCTGCCAGAACGTACAATTCCTCGTTAAAAAAGATAAAGTAAACTGATTGTTCATGAGAAACCGTATCTAAACTGCACCACCACAATTCAGCTTTCGATTTTTGGAGCGAGTCATGAGTAGTGCTCTGCATATAAAAACTTATAACTATAGTCTATCATGGAAACATATCCTCAAACCCCAACACACAGTAAATTATGACGAAACGTCTTTAGAGTATTGATTTAGCTGCTTTCTTGCATTTGCTACTTATAATCGGATCCCATGGTATACTCAGATACAAGTTTGGAAAATAAGGATGAACTGTCCTCTAGCAGTTTTGCTGGGGCGTCATGCTCTGCGATTTCACCTGTTTCACAGCATGAACATTGTTCAAGCGTGAGGAGTAATAAATGTGAACATAGTTTTGGCTCGTTAGTCAGGGGCATGCTTACCGTTATTCAGAAGCAAGACTTTGTCGCTATCAAGAACTGATGTGATACGATGAGCTATTGCAATCATTGTGCATTCGAGAAATTGTTGTTTTAAGGTTTTTTGAATTAAGCTGTCTGTGATTGGATCCACAGATGAAGTTGCCTCATCCAAAACCAAGATCTTTCTCCGTTTCAGAATCACCCTTCCCAAACACACAAGTTGTCGCTGACCTGTGCTCCAGTTTTTGCCCTTTTCTGTCACTGCATTTGAAAAATCAAAGAACAATAAGTTAGGGCTTTGGCATCACAGAGCAGTGTCCCGAGACCTTCTGGCAGGTATCAAACCTGGTGAGTCAAGCTTAAGCTCATTCTTTCTAACTTCATCCCCAAGATGACAAGAATCCAATGCCTACAGAGCACATGTATTAGGCGCAGAATGGAACCCTTGATGAGAGAAACGAAATAGATTTAATGATTGGAATGTACCTCCCAGATTTTCTCATCACTATACTCCCCAAGGGGGTCAATATTGGTTCTCAGGGTCCCCTCAAACATAACAGGATCTTGTGGAATGATGCTCAATCTTGTCCGAAGGTCATGTAGTCCAATGGTGCAGATGTCAGTGCCATCTATCAACATTTGGCCAATACATGGGTCCACAATGCGAAATAGTGCCTGAATCAAGGTTGATTTGCCACCACCTGTTCTACCAACAATACCTGTCTTCTTTCCTCCGAGTAAGGTGCACGTCAGGCCTTTCAAAACAAAAGGCAGCTGCGGTGCATATCGAACCTGCATCACATAACACGCTCTTAAGGGCCATTAACACTAAATCAGTTACCAGTTATACTTGTTTTCCACCTTAAGACGAGTTTTAGTTTTCTGGAATATTCTAGAAATATATTAAGAATTAAAGGCTGCAGTTCTGTTAACAACAGGAACATAATAAAAATCAAAAGGACATGTTAATATTGGAATAATGCCTTATAATGAAATTGATTGTTTTACAACAGTTAGCATTTACTATACCTAAAACTGTCTAGTTTCATAAATACTGAGCACAATAACAATTGTACAAATTGAATATGCATAGTGCATAAAGTTGAAGAGACAAACATGCAGGTTACGAAACTCAATTTCGCCCTTTGTTGGCCACTGTCCATTTGGTTGGCGTTCTGGTATTGTAAATGGTGGTTCAGAAGGAATAATCGTATACTGCAACATTCTTTCCACTGATATCATTCTATTTTCCAAACTGCAGAGGACAGCAATAGCCCATCCTTGTAGCATATTGAGACTTAGTCCATAAGTGACCGCAAGACCAGCAGTCTCTGTACAAAATATTATCAGCATGTTAGTACACTAACGAGTAAGAACGATATTGATATTGCTAGAGAAATAATATGCTTACTTGGGTCAATTAAAGAAGCTGGTGAAGAGACCAGAAGTATCAATGTGAAGGAAAAAACAAAGGATGAAAGCATATCCAAGCGAAAGCACAACCATTCCATTGCGGCTGCATTATACAAACTTGGTCGAGATAAATTATCCACCAAATATCCAATATAACTGATAAATTGCCTTTCCTTTTGAAAGCATCTAATTATATTTGAGCCAGCCATTGATTCAGAAAAATGTTGCAGCACGGGGGCTCTGCAAACTCCAACCAACCTTTGCAACTCTCTAGCAGCATCTATGTAGTATTGCTAAAAGTTGGGAGTGTATGGTCAGGAATCAAATAATAACAAACACAAAACTGTAATTCACAGATACAACTAATGAACATCAATGAGAAAATTGACACCATCAGTTTTAAAAATAGAAAAACAATACAATTGTAATTTATATATAATCTACCTGATACCACAGCGATGCAATAATAATGGGGAAAAAAACTATGAAGACTTGCCATGCAACATGTGACATCAGAATAACTGTTCCTAGAATCTCAATGGCAGGAAATAGAAGATAGCCCATCAGGTCAAAAATTCTTGTATCCACTGTGCTTTGATCTGTGGAAGCCTACAATTTGTTTCAACTTTCAGCATTAACATAATAAAAAAGCAAATAGCATTCAAAGGACACACTAATTCCATATGTCCTTAAAAATAACATTCTGAATGTACTTACTCTGTTCAAGATTCGCCCACTAGGAGTGGAGTCAAAGAAAGACATTGGTGCTCGGAAAATGCAGTTGTGCATTTTCTCAAATAGAATAGTAGCAGTCTTACATCCGGTCATGACAAGAAGATGTGATCGTATGAAGATGAACAATGAGCTAACAATTGCTAATGCAAAATATACATTTACCATCTGCAAACTACTGATTGGAGGATTCACATTTTTAGATATTGGTGCTGCCCAAGCCATCCAGAAATTGCATCCAATTTGAAGAACTTGGAAAATTATCTGAGCTAGCAAAATAAGTGGCACAAGTGCTCCATTATATGCCATCATAATATATTTCCAGTAGACAATAAATCCAACCCGGCCTTTCTCCCTCTCTTCTTCTTGTACTAGCTGACCATTTTGAATAATTCCTTCCTCGTTATCATCTTTTTTATCCCCGTTGCCACCAGGATGATATGCATTCTCAAATTTTCCACTAGGGCGCTCCAGCATGTCTAGAGTTGATAAGGCATCTTTATGGGATGCAACTAATTCCATGAGCTCTTCTCCAGATTTCAGAATTTCAGTGTAATCCCCTGACTGTGTTATTTTTCCATCTCTCATGACCTGAAAGATGAGCAGAAAATTGGAAAGATGAAAAAGTTTGTTGCATGTATCATAAAAAAAACACTAGACAATTGTTACTAGCTTACCAGGACAAGATCAGCTGAAGGTAAAAATTCCACATGATGGGTAACATATATAACAGTTTTTGAAGCTAAAAATTCTAGCAAGCACTCCTGCAATATACAAGTTATAGCCGTATAAGTTTCACATAATAGAAACAAATAATCTTTTGAACCCTAAAATAATGCTCAAGGACATTATATGCAAGTTAAAAGGGGTAGTTGCACCGATGACCCTACTTTGTAGGCTAACTGTTGTTTTGCCCTCCCTTTTTCTGACTTTGAGCGTCTACCTCAGAGTGTACCTTGTGTTCTAGGCCTTCTAACACCAGAATTTTCACTCACACCTGAGTTACAGTTAGTTATAATATAGGTCAATTAGCTTATGTAGTCATTATGTGGTCCATTTCTCAAGTATCGTTGGTGCAAGCAAAAAATAGGTGCTGGTGTCCCTAACAACACTCGGTATTTTGCTAGTAGAAAGGTAGATCAAATATGAGCCATGTAGGCAGCCCCTTAAAAGAACTATGAAACCATATGCTATAGCTAGAAACAAGAAATAATTAACAACTCTCATTCAAGATGAATTAAAAATAAATTTACTACCCTAGAACTAAAATAGATGTTCATAAATAAGTAAGAATAATACAAATACTGAATTGGAAAAATAAAATAGGGAAATAAGTGGAAAATGAATGTTGCAGTTGCAGCATTATGATGTAAAAATATCACTTTATATAATAGGATTATGAAGTACTGCCTCAGTTCCAAATTATATTTCGTTTGACTTTTTTGACTGAAAGTTTGACCACTCGTCTTATTCAAAAAATATGTGCAAATATACACAAATTTAAGTCATTCTTGAAGAACTTTTATTAATAAAGCAAGTCACAATAAAAGAAATGATATTTTACCTAAAATTTTGAATAAGACGAGTGGTCAAATATTTGGTCAAAAAATCAAACGAATTATAATTTAAAACGGAGGGAGTACCAAATGTCATAACTAAGACTAGTTTCGATACAATGCATTAAATGTCAAAACATACCTTGAACAAGTGCTGTCCAGTGCAAGCATCAACCGCACTAAATGGATCATCAAATAGAAAGATATCAGCATCTTGATACAAAGCACGGGCAATCTGTATCCTCTGTTTTTGTCCACCACTTAAGTTGATTCCTCTCTCTCCTATAATTGTTTGGTCACCCAAAGGTAATATATCCAAATCGTTATTTAAAGAACATGCCTCAAGGACATTTTTGTACCTTTCCATGTTCATTTGTGTACCAAAACGTATGTTTTCTTCGATTGTCCCACTTTGTAGCCATGGTGATTGGCTAACACAAGCAATTGTGCCACAAGTTTGAACCTCTCCAGATAACTTTGGTATCTCACCAAGTATGCAAGACAATAAGCTTGATTTACCCGATCCAACAGTTCCACAGATAGCAACTCTAGTTCCTTGTTGCACACAAAAGTCCAGGTCTTGGAGAGTAGGCACCTGAGAGGATTTCTCCCAGGAGAAGTTACCATTTCTCACCTTAATGGATATATCGGTGCTACCACTCGGAAGCTTAGTTACCACATCACTTGCTAATTCCTCAAGGCAGAGAAATGAACATATCCTATCAAGTGATACTTTTGTCTGAATGATAGATGAGATCGCGTCCGGCAGACTGTGGATAGGACCTTGCAACTGCCTAAATGTTGCTAGAGCAGATAATACTTTCCCTGTTTCTAATGGGGTGCCAAAAATTATGCAAGTTCCAAAAGTGATCATAGCAACAAATGCAGGGGCACAAAAAAAGACAGATATAAGCATTGATGAGGTGTAGACATATTTCTTTACCCAGTTCATCTCAACCTTCCTTAACTCTTTAATCTTGGACAAGAAAACCAATTCCCAACCTTGAAGCTTGAGAATATGCATGTTCTGTAATATCTCAGACATAGCACTCATTCTAGCATCCTTGGCATTCATAGTTTTCTCTTGGTAATTTTGCTCAATCCTCCCCAAAGGTATGTTAGCCAACATTGTCAAAGCACACGCAGCAAGGGCAGCGAATGCTGCCAAGCCAAGAGTAGAGTACAAGATAATCATTGCGAGACTAATTTGTACTGGGAGCAGCCAAAGTTCATGCAAAGACCAATTGAAATCTCCTACTCGCTCAACATCAATGTTCACAACATTGATCAGCTCCCCGCTTGAACTACCTTGCTTGGACTGGCTAGAGAGGACAAGACCCTTTTGATAAATAATTGCAATAAGAGCAGAATGCACACGCAAGCCTAATTGTTGAGATCTGAAGAGCAAATGCCTTGATGAGAGACCTTCCATCAGCTGTGCAACAACAAATGCCAACACCAAAAGGTATCCTCTTTTAGTAGATCGTGTGCTTTCATTTAAGTAGTCAACAAAGTGCTGAATGAGATAGGGACCAACATATGAAGTAACGGTACGGAGCAGGGCATAAACTGCAGTGATAATAATTAGCTTCCATGTTGTGAGCACAAGAGATTTGACTAACTTAACTGTTGTAACATCAGTGCATTGCCCTGTAGCAGAAATCGAGGCAATCTTTGATTTAAGCTTAGGGGTGATTCCGTGGACACTGTCACTGTCATCCAAGAATGGCACATCATTAAGGTCTAGTGTCTTCCTCTTGCCAAGATCAAGTAAAGGACCCATCCAAGAAAAGGTGATATTACTAAACAATCCAGCATTTGAGAAAAGTGATATATGGCCTGTTGCCTCAAATAAGGACGGAGATTCATGGTCCAAAAGCGGTTCCTCCATGGTACTGTAATGGCTTCTGAATAGAAAACAATAATAAAATAAAAAAAGTTATAGAAGTTTTATTAACTTTGACATGCACAAACATGCATAAGGGTAGGTGCTCGAAGAAAACAAAATAAGAGACATCATTAGAAATTGAAGTCTGCATCTGCATTGCTAGATAATTATAAGAAGGATAAATAGACTCGAAACAAAATAAGAGACATCATTAGAAATTGAAGTCTGCATCTGCATTGCTGGACAATTATAAGAAGGATAAATAGACTTGAATCACGGGTACTTGCTCACACTTATATTAGAAATTTTACAGTGATTGGATGAATCACGGGTACGCATCGGATGAACAGTAACCTCGACGTGACCGCCTCAAACTTATATTCTTTTATAGATAGATAGATGCCAGGAGATCCTTGTTCTAAATCACTTAATATTCATGAACACAAATGATGCAGTGCTTACTAGGGATGAAAACGGATCGGATACGAACGGATATCACTCATATTATATTTGTTTTCATATTTCTGTTCGGATTCGAATTCGGACACGGATAGCGTTCGGATACATATACGAATACGGATTGACTCGGTTACGGATACAAATAATGAGTATCGAATACGGTATGAATCGGATTCGGAGAAGGTCGGATACAAATATCTATTCGGATATTGAGTAAAAGCAGCATATATATATATATATATATATATATATATATCATACGTGCGCAAACCATTACACCACTCTATGAGTCCATAATCCATCTAGATTAAGCCGAAAGACTAAAGAGTAAAGCAACAAATAAGATAAAGATACAGATACATCATACATCAAACATCATATAAGCACCAATCTTCGCGGCATGAGTAGAAATAGCCAAGCACATTGCTTCATGGGTCTCATGGAGTCATGGTCATGGATTCAAGATCTACAATCCTTATATAGGCCATTTTTCATTTTGAGAAAGTTTGAACAAAATGTAGTTCAAATTTTACAAGTGTGTGACATAGTTTTAGAAAGTGCGTATGAGATTTAAGAATTTGTGACTAGTGTTTGATAAAACTTTCTCAAATGGGAAAATGAGCTATGTAACAATTGTATATCTTGCTGAGATGATCAAACTTGGTATTCAGAGTTTTTTCATCTGAGGTCATTTAGTGTCTCATTTGAGCAAGTTTGACCAAGTCAAATTTGGTCAAATGAAAAAACAACACTTTGACTCTAGTATTATGAACTCTAAATGACTTCAAATTGAAAAGTTTTGAATACCAAGTTTGTTCAACTCATCAAGATCTACAATTCTTGTTTTGGTCAACTTTCCATTTGAGATAGTTTGGACGGTTCAAATTTGTGATTTTTAAATTTCGATGCTAACAAACTAGTTTTCGGAACCCTAGATTGTCTCAAATTGAAAAGTTTTGAATACCAAGTTTGTTCAGCTCATCAAGATCTACAATCCTTATATAGGCTATTTTTTCATTTGAGAAAGTTTGAACAAAATGTAGTTCAAATTTCACAAGTGTGTGACATAGTTTCAGAAAGTCTATATGAGATTTAAGAATTTGTGACTAGTGTTTGATAAAACTTTCTCAAATGGGAAAATGAGCTATGTAACAATTGTATATCTTGCTGAGATGATCAAACTTGGTATTAAGAGTTTTTTCATCTGAGGTCATTTAGTGTCTCATTTGAGCAAGTTTGACCAAGTCAAATTTGGTCAAATGAAAAAACAACACTTTGACTCTAGTATTATGAATTCTAAATGACTTCAAATTGAAAAGTTTTGAATACCAAGTTTGTTCAACTCATCAAGATCTACAATTTTTGTTTTGGTCAACTTTCCATTTGAGATAGTTTGGACGGTTCAAATTTGTGATTTTTAAATTTCGACGTTTACAAACTAGTTTTCGGAACCCTAGATTGTCTCAAATTGAAAAGTTTTGAATACCAAATTTGTTTATCTCATCAATATATACAATCCTTATATAGGCCATTTTTTTATTTGAGAAAGTTTGAACAAAATATAGTTCAAATTTCACAAGTGTGTGACATAGTTTCAGAAAGTCTATATGAGATTCAAGAATTTATGACTAGTGTTTGATAAAACTTTCTCAAATGAGAAAATGAGCTATGTAACAATTGTAGATCTTACTGAGATGATCAAACTTGGTATTCAGAGTTTTTTCATCTGAGGTCATTTAGTGTCTCATTTGAGTAAGTTTGACCAAGTCAAATTTGGTCAAATGAAAAAACAACACTTTGACTCTAGTATTATGAACTCTAAATGACTTCAAATTGAAAAGTTTTGAATACCAAGTTTGTTCAACTCATCAAGATCTACAATTGTTGTTTTGGTCAACTTTCCATTTGAGATAGTTTGGATGGTTCAAATTTGTGATTTTTAAATTTTGAATAAATATCCGGATAATATCCGTTTTTAAATATCCGGATATATCCGATACTTATCCGGATTATCCGATATCCGCCGGATATCGATGATATTACATCCGTATTTGATATCCGTCTAAGATATCCGTTTTAGTATCCGTATCCGAAAAAAAAACCGGATATCCGAGTAATTATCCAGATAAGTGTTCATATTTGTTCGGTCGAACGGACGGTCGAATAAATATCCGTACCGTTTTCATCCATAGTGCTTACTATAGATATCAGGACAACAATGTATATTAGCGGATCCCCCCCCCCCAACCCCACCCCCGCGATATTCTGTCACACTCCGTTCCAAATTATAAGTTATTTTAACTTTTTTGAGAGTCAAAGCATTTCAAGTTTGATTAAAATTATAGAAAGAATTACAAAAATTTATGACATCAAATAGGTATACTATAAAAATATAATTAGTGAAAATCTAATAATACTTATTTAGTATCATAAAGTTATTATTTTATTATATAAATTTGGTCAAATTTGAAATGCTTTGACTTTCTAAGAAATTAGAATGACTTATAATTTAGGACAAAGGGAGTGGCAAATAGCCGGCAGTGAGTGACGGACAGTGGACGGCTGCTGTGCGCCCCGTAATTATTATTCTTACATCGGACGGTTGAAAAAAATTAGATAGAGAGGAACCTATGGTTCCTTTTAAGCACAGTACTGGGATGCACTGTACTATTATTAAGGAAAACAGATGACGATCTACAGTAGAAACATTGGACAAAGAAAAGTATGGGATGCACGATGCAGAAATGCAGAACTACATCCTACAGCAGCCCGCCTGAACCTAGCAGCAGTACCATATCCCAAGACGTGTGCATTGTTTTCTAGTTCTACATGCGTCGCAGCTCGCAACGGGAAACCCACGATTTGCATTCTACGTCGACCACGGGGTGGATCCACCCGATAAATTTAGAGAGAAAAAAAATGAAAGTTAGTAGGCAGCGTAATACACGCGAACACTGTGGGTGCAAGAGGTTACGCACACCAGGGAAGGGAATAGAAAGGGGGCCGTACCTAGTGGATGCGAAGGGCTCGACGAAGAACTGGAGAAGGGCGGCGCCGCTCGCCCAGTCGTCGCCGTTTTCGATTTCCACTGGAGAGGGAATCAATGGACTCGCTCAGTAGTCGCCGCCGCCAGGAAATAACGGCCACGAGAGAGAGAGATCGAGGCGCGCGACTATACGGGCTCAAAACCAGGGATAGGAAAGGAAAAAGTCTACTTCACTCCAACCTATTGAAAACCATTTATTTTTCTATCAAAAAAAAGGAAAACCATATATTCTACCCTCTAAAAACTTGCCCTTGGGGCAAAGTTAAGTCCGGACAGTATTCCAGCTTGTATCAATGTTCTGGTGGCCAATGATTTGGCATCAGGTTATGAGTAATGGAGATTTTTTCCATATTAAAAAAACTTGTTGAATATTATAATATAATATTTATATTGATAGGTCTATAAAATATTTTAATCATATTTTAACCATGTCCATCTCATTTATGTTTGATTTGTTTTGTACTCCCTATATCTCAAATTATAAGTTATTCCAACTTTCTTGAAGTGTCAAAGCATCTCAAGTTTGACTAAATTTATAAAATAAAATAATAATATTTATAATATCAAATAAGTATCATTAGTTTCTTCATTAATTATATTTTCATAGTATACATATCTGATGTTATAAATCAAATAATAAGATTTATGATATGATACCAAATAAGTATCATTATAATCTTCATTAATTATATTTTCACAGTATATATATTTGATGTTATACATCTGTGTAATTTTCTCTATAAATTTTGTCAAACTTCAGATGCTTTAACTCTCAAGAAAGTTAGAATGACTTATAATTTGGAATGGAATGAGTATCAAATAGCAACACAATGGTCATTAAAATGAAGTTCATGATTGATTATGACCACATGCAAGTATTAACCAACTTATAAACAGACATACAGACAGTCTACTGTATGATATATCTATTTACTTGTCTCTGTGTTAGATTCCAAGATTTTAAAGACAACCTCTATTCATGGGTTGTACATTGCCCTAAAGGGTCTAAAAATCTGGTCTTCTAATTGAGGTGGATAAATCACATTCACACAAGTAACATGTTCGTTTGTTGGTTTTAGTCAGGGCTTATCAGCCATGGTATAGTATTTTTCTCTTACAACAAACCAGTATCAGCCGGGCTTATCAGTCCAGAAACCAATCAGCGAACAGGCTGAATAGTTCAGGAGTCAGATGACTTTTTTCTTTAAACGAACCATTTTATACCTGGGCCATGTGAGTGCATACGAGTGAGACAAGCTCGCCTTAATTAGCCCGATTAACGAGAGTCAACGTCCCACTGGTGATCACAGAGAAATGCCCCTTGGAGCCTCGAGGCATGTCGGCATTCATTAAGAGAAATGAACTGTAAGCGTGCATGCAGAGTGGCCACAACATACGCTGATACGCACCAATCGATCAAAACTTGATGAAATTTGGACATCCAAGCCGCTTACAAAAACAGAACGAACAAAGAATCAAGAAACAGTGACAATTTAAA